AATACACATTTTGCACTCAAACCAAACTCAAGTTCAAGGAGGGAGCAGGATAAACAATAATACATGATGCTATGTTCTAAATGTTTCACGAATTACCATTTATTCTGACCATGATACACGCATTGTATTTCTAACACTAAAAGCATACCTCCAATACAATCCTATGAAAACTTAATGCCACATGTTTTGCCAGTATTGAAATACTGACAGTATTTCTTTTTAGAATACTTTATTTTAGCTGGAATTAATTTTAGGCTGAAAAGACTTTTTGGGTTTTGTTAGATTTATTTTCACTGAATCATTCCTTCAGTGAAAATTAATTCCAAGCAAAAATAAAGTATTCACAGTAATCAAATTTGCGCATCTCCAATACAGGCACATGTAAACTAAACAATAAATGTATTGAAATTTACTTTATGGCATGTGTACTTTCATTAGAGATTTGTGTGAGCGAAACAGTATACTATTTGTTTTATTATGGTGGTTGCACAATGTGATTTTGTGCCTTACAGGTGTTGTTTCTATGGAGAAAATAAGTCACATTGTAATAATTCATTATACAACACATGCAATTTTGTTTTTTCGCTTTTATTTGATATGCACTTCTAAAGAGCGATTACGATCGTTGTTATGTTGTGGTTTTCTAAAAGTACAGACTGGCACTTTATTCATAGCACTGCAGAATTGATTTGTTTCATTGTATTACCTTTTTGCAACTTTTAAAAATGGTGTCACATTCTTTACCATTCATTTTAAGCTGTCCTGGAGCAAACTATAATTCAATTTAGGGGAGCCTTCTCTGTTTATTTTCCAAAATAATAGTATTGAATCTAAAATAACATCTGATTGGCTGATAAAGTGCATTATACCACATTTCAACCAATGAGTTACAAACTTATAAAATACAAGTGTAGCAGTACATACTGTATACAAAATAAATCATGATCATTGTATTAGTAGAAGTCTATCTTTATCTTCTAAACAAGAATCTTTCCCTGTCTGATAATAATTTGAATAGTTCTTGTGCATGACCCATAAAGGTCACATTCTGGCTCTTTCTGGATGTATTGTACAGACATTTTGCTTCAATGATTATTTTCCTAAAGATGCAATATGGAAGAGAATATGCAATTTTTAACATTGTTTGATATTGTATGTTGATGAATGCATTTGATTTATTGTGACCATGAAAACTTGATTATTGGAGCTCACATCTGAGTTTTGAGTGGAACGACATTCTCACATGCGTATGTGCACTGGTTTTAGTTTGTATAATAAAACTCAGGGTCCACCATAGCATTGGGAAAATCCTTTGAAAGTTTTTGGATATTTTGAGGTCTGGAAAGTCTTTGAGTTGTCTTTAAATTACAGGAAAAATAAAAAAATCTTTAAAAAGTCTTTAAATTCCTTCATAGTTATTACCCGGTATTTCAATTTAGAAAGGCCACTTTTCTCAGCATACTTTTTTATAAAGTGTTTTCTACCCCAGTTTTGACAAGTGTCGGCAGTGATGGCTAACCCTGCACCCAAATTAAGGGTCAAAATGTCTTGGGGGGTGCAAGAAAGTTTGGAAATGTCTTAGAAATAATTTGGCTCTTGATGCTATGGACCCTGTGACTGCACATGCTTGTTTATAGTGGTTTCGATTTTTCATCTAATGAACACAGTCTCTCGTCAACAATTTTGATAAATCATGGCCCGCCCAATTTAGTCTACAGTTTGGAGTATCAACAATTTAAAAATATTTTTTCATCTATATTGCATGTTCACAGTTGCTTTAACCACTGTATTGTCTGCTGAAAACCTCTCACTCATAAACTCCTGTGAAGCATAAGAGCATTGTACAAAACTTTATTCATCAGAATTCAGAAATCATATTTAGAATGCTGTTCAAAAATAAAGTAATGCATGCAAATATTAAAATGTACACTTAGAAATGGCCTTTACTGATGAGAATGAAAATTTGTATGAATTTGTAATGACAATTTTGTTTGGAATATACATCTTTCTGTCAAGTGCAAGTTGCATGTAGCTTTGTACTCTGTATCCAATGTCTGGATGTGTTGCCATGGTGATCACAGTAATCAATGGGAGGTGTTCTGCATATAATGCAAAATGGGAATGCAACTTTGACCCTTGTCTTCACAAAAAAAAAGTTAATTTCTGTAAAATATTTTATTTTAGCTGGAATTAATTTTCACTGAAAATACTTTTTGAGTGTTTTGTATAGTTTATTTTTACGAATTCTTGATGAGTTGAATGTAGAATATAGGGAAAAAAAGGTATATTCACTGGATTCTGGATCCCTTCAGTGAAAATAAAGTATTTTACAGTATTCCAAGATGGAACCAAGATGTGTGGATATTTACATGTGCATTGCTTTTCATTTTGCTTCCCT